AGTTACACACAGGTGTAACCATAAACTGTGCTGTCTTTTTTTTTTTTTTTTTTTTTTTTTTTTTTTGTTTACTTTAAGGGGCAGGTTGTTTGTGCCATTTGCCACGAGGGGGATTCTACTAACGTTTGGTTGGTTGCCGGAGAAACAGGTTGCCAACTGAGGCACTAACAGGAGGTACGAAAGGCAGGTCTTCATAATTATGCTAAATAAGGAAAAAGGGCATGGGTCACTTCTGTTGTAGCTTCTGGGCAGTGTTGGTGTAACTTGTGGGCCACTTTCATTCGTTCTGTTCTACGTAACCATGTAGGAAGCAAATATTATCACTGTTTCGAAGCATAAATTTATGATTTTTTTTTTTTTTTTTCCCTTCATTTTTTACATTTGTATGCAGAACGGGAGGCAACCTAGGGTGTAGTCCCCAAACAAATGTGTTGACATTTTTTTTTTAAAAAAAAAAACGGTGCATAGGAGGCAGGTGGCATTTCAAATAGGTATTGCCTCTTTACCGACCGTTTTGTTAGACTCCCCTGATCAGGTACGCAACAAAAAAGTGGCAACTTCAATTGGAATGATTTTCGTAGCACGTTAAGAAAGTTCTTTTTTTTTTTTTTTTCATTTTACTGACAACATTTTAGCACGCTTGGTTTGTTACACCTCTGGAGAATACGCTTTTAAACAATTGACAACTCGCGGGCGGAGGGGACAACAACAGAGGGCATAAAACCATGTGTGAAGACATCAACTGCCTTTTCCCCTTAAATTGGCTTCCACCCAATTGGTACATTCTCTATTTTATATTTCGCGGTGATGGTGGGAGGAGCCGTCTTTTGGGGGGTTGTTCTCCAAAAAAACGCACAGAAGGGGTGCGCGGGCAACTTGGCCCACGTCCACTTATACATGTATGTATGTATTTTTTTGCCACTCAGAACAAGTGCGCAATTACAAAGAGGGGACAAAAGGAAGAGTTAATTGCCTCATGCTATGTGTTCGTGTCTCAGGTGAACAGGGGCGTTTAGTGTTCGTCCCACTATCAAACCATGCGTTTTTTTTCGCGGCGCATGCACGCAGGTCAGTGTTTTTCTTTCCCGTCCAGGGAATACGAAGGTATGTTAGTGTCCTTTTTTCCCTCCTCACCTGTCTTTGCCCCCTCAGCACAGCCAAGGCGATGCCCATAGCGAATTAATCTCCCCATTCGGCTATGCGCCTACTTCAACTCTTCGTTATTCCACCGCTTTGTCGCTCCGCCACTTGAGCACTTCACCGCTGAGGGACACAACTTGGTGTGCACAAAAATCCACAATGGAAAAAAAAAAAAAAAAAAAAAAAAAAGGATAATTGGACAACTTTCATGACTTTCCCCTCAAATGCACGTTTTAACCTCTTCACACCGTACCCGCGTGCACAGCAAGAAAAATAGGGCCACGCGAAATTTCCCCCCATGTAACACACACCTTTTTGCGGGAAGGTTATACACCCAAACGGATTTACAACTCTGCAAAAATCGAACCGCGAAATAAAAATAAAAAAGGATAACAGCATGGAAGCAGTCGGTAAGCGGAACGTGAAAATGGAGCAAGTGACAGAGAGAGAAGACAACTCTGATAAGTTAAAGAAGAAGAAGAAAAAAAAAACAAAAGTTAAAATTTGTGAAGCCATTATATGTAAAAGGAGCCAGGGGGAGGACCCTGGAAAGGCTGAAGAAAAGTCTTCTAGAACGAATGAAGTCGAAACTATGGGAACGGCCGCGAAAAAGGGCCCAAAGGTTCAGAACGCCGAGCTAGGCAAGTCGAAAGAAGGGAAGACGAAGGGAGCCAAATGGACAGAGGACAAGGCGAAACAGACGGAACTGAAAAGGGTGCAGGCAAAAGGTGATCATTCCCAAAGCGATCAATCCGATGGGGATCGATTCAAAAGGGAGCACCGACAAAATACGCAATGGAAGACAGCGGGGGTCGGGTCTACCCTTAAAAAGGTGGCTGAGGAGCCCCGTGAGGGCTATCCTGGGGCTGTTATTCCTCTGGTGAAGCGTAAAGGGGGGAGCAGTCAGTTAGATGTGGACACAGGTGCTAGGGGAAAAGGTAACAAGGGAAAAGGTGAGAAACGCAAAAGAGACAAGCACAAAAAAAGGGATATAAAAATAGAGGCGCACAAAAATGAGAAACGCGAAGGAGATCCCCCAGTGTGTGAACTGCTACACGGATCGGAGGACGCGTCCTCGCTTTCCTGCACAGAATCATCCACAGTGTCGCTGGCCTCAGGCACGTCAGACAACTCCAGCCTCTACTGGGACGAAGACAGCCTCATTGAAATATGCATTGGACAAGCAAAGCTAAACAGCCAAAAGACAGACTGCTCCCATTACGAACACGCATTTTGTGTGTCCTATTTTGTATATGAAGACCCCTTAGAAATTTTCAGCCTATTTCAGGGAGTAAGTTGGCTGCCAGAATTGAGAAACAGATGTACCTCCCTAAACAGAATCGAGTTTAAGCCAAAGAAAAACACCAAAAAGCTTTACTCCTCTGCATATGTAAATATAAATCAGTGTGTGCATTTAAGGAGGAGATACAATGAGGTTATAAATATTGTGGACGATGGGATCGCCTACGTTTTTATTTCAATCATTGGGGTCAATTTGAAGGAGTACGAAAAATTTTATCAGAGTAAATATGGCGCCATGAATGGAGGTACAAACTGTGCAGACAATTCCTACATTAGAAGCGATGCTGCTAATTCGATAAACCGATTTGATCCCCCGTGGGGGATGACTACCAACATGGGTGAAGCGTATCAAAGGGGTGTTGAGGATATCCCATTTGTGAAAAACCTCGTGGAGAAATACAAAAAGGAAATGGAATTAGAATTGGACTTTAGGGGCGAGAAAAAAATTATCACAGAGAGGAATTACAAAAAATTTCTTCACATCTTAGGTTCCTGTATTGTTCCTATAAAAGTGTGTAATGAAGGAGAAACAATGAGCGTTGAAAATGTGTACACGAGAGATAGCTACAATGTTTACCCTCATGAAGTCATTAGAGCTGTCTTGTATAACTACCTAGACCTGTTCAGAAAAAACAAAAAGGTAAATTTGTTTCATCTCATTAGTAAGCATGAACACGAGTTATTACCACTAGGTCGCCTCAACCTTGAGAGCAAAAAAGTGAAAAAGGATGCATCCCCCCCCGGTAATCTCCTCCAAGAAGAGGATATACTACACCACCTGAGCGATGAAAACAGTGATGCACATAATATTGTAAAGAAAATTTTTAAATACATTACGTTAAGGAGAACGAGTGAAGGACAAGAAAATGACACCCTTGAAAAAAAAATAAAAAATTTGTGTTCCTACTTAGATGTAGAATTAAATAAAAGAGATCCCAAATACATGAACCGGTCCTTTTCGTATATTGAAAAATGTCTGCAAAAAATGGATAATATGAAAGAACAAGAAAAATTTAATAAAAAAATTAGGAAAAAATTATTTAAAATGTTAGGATTATCAAAGAGGAAATTCCCTAACGGATTCTATTCTTCTAGATGGAAAATTTTACAAGTGCCTTGCTCACATCTAATTGTTTTTGTTCACTGTGTGTCTAACATTACTCTGAAGTTGAGCTCTTTAAAAAAATTTATTGACGTAAACCTCTTCCATGGGATAATATTTTGGGAGGAAGAGGGGAACAGTCTGCATAACCTTCAAAATGTAAAGGACAGAAAAAGGAGGACCATCAAATTGACATCGCGGAATGGGATCCAGGCTGACTACTACTTCCCCACGGAATGTGAGGAGCGGGGTGACAAAGTGGAGGGAGGAAAAAAGGAAGTCGTTTGTTTGAAGCTTAATTTCAACAGCCCAGTCATCCTGCCTTACAACCACAACGCGCCCTCCTGTCGACTAAACTTTGTCCTTTTGCACAACGGCACTCCGCTGTTTACCTTGGCAGGAAGCGGTGTAAGCGGTGGAAGCGGATGCAGGGAGGACACCTGCAACGAGGACGACGTCCGCTACGACAATTGCGGATACGCCATAAATGACAACGTCCCGTTTAACGAAGGGGATAAGGTAAACAGGAGCCTCCAAATTCACCCGCATTATCTGAAAACGAACGGGCACGACCCCTTCACAGAAAATTCCAGACCCTTTGTTGAACTCTCCTTCTACACACACCCAAAGAATAGCACATTTGTCCCTGCAGACAAGTATAATCTGCTTTACAAAAATAAAATGAACAGCAACTTGGGCGAAGACATCGCTCTCTCCTCCTATTCAGCTCCTAATTTTGGAAGAGACAAATTGGTTTTTCACTTTTTTGATGATTTTGCAGATGACCTACGTGTGGTGAAAGCAGACCAGAGGAGTTATTTTAAAAGTTACTTCTTCGTGCCCGTTATGGGGCGCCAAGTGCAAGAGGGATCTGCAGGGGAAAAGCGCGATGACGCTCCATATAGGGATGCCCCTGTGAGCGGTGACCTCATGCACGATCAACGTGGGGCCTCCCCGAGGGATGCTTCCATCCAGGTAGTCCACTTCGCCGTGGCAGAGGGAGGGGGACTCCAGGGGGGGGAAATAAACAAATGGCACTCCTTCTACGTACACACAAAAGATTACAAAAAAAGGAATGTATATGGAGGAGAGCATGTTCAAATTAGGATACAAATTGAACCGATCGGTTATCTTCTATTAGACTATGCTGCTGACCCTTGTGGAAACGTGGAGGTACATAAAAACACCTTAAGTTGCTATGCACCTAATAAGGGGCTGATTGGTCGTGATGAATTCTGCTTCAACTCCTTTAGTGAGATCCATGAACTGGTCGCTTACAAGGTGGAGGATTTAAAGAATGGCACTTACGAGGTGACGTACCAGGTGCACAAAGTGGGAAGGAAGCTGCTCTACATCTTCTGCGACGGGATCGATGTGATTGGTTCTCCATACGAAATAAAGGCTACCCCTTCGGGCGCAGATCCCAAGTCGTGCAAAATTTTGGGCAAGGGGGCCACCCAGTGTCTGGCCACCCCCGTTCTGGACCTGTGCAGTGGGCCCTGGGTGGATGGCCCTTTGGGCAAGGGGCAATACGACAATAGGGGGGAGCGGCGAGAGGTCAACTGGGGTGTCACCCTGAACGGAGGCCTAGCTGTTGACCACGGTGTTAACCAGTCTGTTAAGCAGTGTGCCGGCGTGGATGATCCTATAGGCGTTCCCCTCACCCCGACCGATACCAAGGCGGGTCTGGCGGCAAGTGAGGGCCATCACGATGGAGCTGCTCCAGAGGAGAATTTCCAGAAAGGACTTCACGCTGAAGCGTCCGCGGGGGGGGTTCACCCAGCAGTAGTACACCCTCGAGAACACCCAGTGGAAGACAGTCCAAGGGACACTCATCCCAGTTCCACGGCTTCAGCGACCGGTGCTGCCCCCCATGGCGAAAACGAATTCCACATCATCTCCGTAACGAAGCGGGAAGTGAGCACCGACCTGGGGGTGGGCAAAACGGAAGAGGTGTCAGGTCCGTGTGCACCCGAAGAAGCGGTAAGCAGTAGAGCGTCAACGAAGAGGATCCCCTACTGCAGTGACGAAGCGAACAAGATTTTTTCTGAGCCAAAATATTACGACGAAATAAAAGGAGGGAACATGACCAAGATGGACAAGACAAACAAGAAGAGGTTTGCTGAACTACTGCAAGAAGCCGAAATAATAAACACCTTCACAATAATACTTTGTGATAAAAATGGAGTAAAGCTAAGTATAGGAAACGACAACGTAAAAGTGGTGGGAAAAAATGGCGCACAGATCAAACGAGTCGTGGATAACCATGATGGGAGTTACACAGTTGAGTATGTCGCTCATTTTAAAAGAGAGCAGAAAATGGAAAAGCTGTTTGATGATGAAGACATAAAACAAGTGCAAAATTTTTATGAAGAATTACTCATAAACTGTAGTAGGAAGCATAACGATAAGTATATCATTGACAATTTTCAAAGGAAGTTTCCTCCATCCATTCCAATATTCTGCCAAATGCATGTCTACGTAAATGAAGTGGAAACGTTTGGGTCACCATTAAAACCCATTATTATGAACATACCACAGATTCTCCACTTTTTCAATTTATATTTTCAGTTTACCTACTCAGGGTTGTTACTAAAAAGTTTTGAATTTTTACTAAACTGTAATGATTACGAGGGGTGTATGAACAATCTTTCTTCATTTTATTCAACTCTAAACAGATCTGTATCGACGCGAGTAATTAATGAGAAAGTCAAAGGGGGAAACGACTTCTTCTTTCAAATTCCGCTGAATGTTGGCGACTTGAGGGAGGGGGCCTTTACGGGTGATATCCCCCCCCATGGGCATACGAGGTGTGGGGAACATGTAAATTGTGGAGTGGAGAATTATACAAAAGTCAGCACACCACATGGAAGAACAGTTCCTGAACATAACGAATATGCATTTGTGAATGAGTGGCTCCACATGCACATGCAAAAATGCAAGTTGTCCCAAACAGATGCCAAGTATGACCTGGGCATGAACCTAGCCTATTCTCTAAGTAATATCATTTTGCAACATTTGATATATTTGAAAAAGTACAAGTTTTTTATAAACTCCAAGCAGTATGAAAATGGCTTGCTGCAGAATAACATACTTACGCAGTTCAGGAAATTACTGGAGGAGGAGTACAGCAAAATGTTTGCCTACCAAACGAATAACATTATAGCCTATTGCAACAAAATTGGGAACGTTAAATTTAGCGGCTTGGAAGAATTAATAAAGGTATACAAAGGTATAGCATTTGAGCTCAGGAAGTTAAAGAAGAATGATCTGGCGGACGAATTCGATAAGTGCTGTGAACACATGTGTCAGGAATTGTATCTTAACAATATTGAATCGAGTCTACTTAGGAAGGAAGCCACGCTGAACAAGTATGAACAAGTCATTGAAGAGAAAATGGAGAAAGTGAACCAAATCAAGGAGAAGATTAAAAAGTATGCAGAAAAAGAGGTAGACATGGACAGAATATCTAAACTGTGCAGCGTCAAAAGGGATAAAGCCATTCAGACCAACGACTACCTGTCCATGTCGCACAAGAATAGTTTCTTAAGTGCTCTTATTGAATCGAGGACAGATGAACCCTCAGCAGGGGGAGCCCAAATGCAGAATACACAACCAAACGAGTTGCAGATGGAGGAAACACAAATCAGGAATATGGTCAGGAAATATTGGAGAAACGCATCCACATATGACATATTTGTAAGTATAAAAAAAACCATGAACAATTGCCCACGACTTAAAATTTCTCTCGACGAAACTTTTAACTACTACAGCTGTAGTGTAAAGAAGGACAATAAAATGAAGGACTTTCAAATTAAAAAAATGCAAGAAATAAAAATGGTGGAAAATCTAGACAATTTAAAAATGATGGATTTAAATGAAGACAATAATAACCTACTCTCACACAACGACTTGAATACCTTCCACCTGACATACAACGCTTATGTAGCTCTCCTAATCGATTTGCGATGCAACAAATATTTTATTAAAGATTTGGAGAATGTCCTTTGGCTGTTCGAAAAATTTTCAATCCAGCATCATTCCTTTCGTAACCTTTACAACCCCTATGGCTTTTTAAGAGTAATTCCAAAGTATCTCTTTATCGCCTTTGTTAGAGAATTGTCCTACTTGAATATGCTTTATGTCATTTCTGAATGTGTGGTCATGAATAAGGAGGACGAGAAAATATTCCTCAACACCAATCACCCCTCTCGACTCTCCTCATTTCATCATTTTGTCAAATACCATTTTGTTCCCTTTTACGAGGAACTTAGCTTGGAACCCAATTTTCAGAATTTTAAACAAAATTTAATTGAACATAATGAGGAAGAGGTCGACCCGGATAGCACCAGAGACACATGCTCCTCTGCTGGTGGAGTCATCACCACCCCACATGTACATATCAACCTCCTGGACTTGGAGACCTACTTCAACGACGAGTTGCCTGTCCTCGTTCGGCACAGGAACTTCGAGAAGACCTTCCCCCTTCTGTTTGATTACTACTCGGGGCTGTCTTCCCCGCGTGGCGGTGCACCACTGAAGGAGCGCGATGGGGCAGTTACTCAGGGGGAAGTCGTGCAGGGCGAGGCCATCTCCAACGCTGCCAGCATTGCTAACGCCGCCAAGGTCGACAAGGTCGATAAGGTGCCCACGGTTGATAAGCTCGATAACCACGTGGGCAAAGGCGACACAGCGCCATGTCCCGAGAAGCACGTCTCCATCACCATCTTCATTCGATTTCTGCGCGAGTTTGGCATCATCCCGCACTTCTTCAGCAACCAAATGGCCATACGGACACTGCAAGCCTTCATGCAAAAGAAGGAGAAAAAGAAATTAAACTACGAGGACTTCTCCCATGCCATCATTATGTCAATATGTGAATGCGTGAAAAAAAATATCCTCACCCAATACAACATGCTCAAGGTGAATAATCAGCTGAACTCCAAAATTCAGACGGAGAAAATTTTGAATCCAAGTTATATTCAATACGAGGCCAAGGAGTTGATCTACCTCTTCGGCTTCGCTGATATGCAGCTGGTGCGGTCGAAGTTGGCCGGGTAGTTGTGGCGCCACCTTCGTTCGGTTGTAATGGGCCGTCGCGATGTATATCCGCATGGAGGCATCAGCATGTAGGGACAACAATTCCGAAGTGGAGGGGAAATTATTGGAATATTTTTTCTTCAACTTTCTCCCAACTCGTTTGCAATGTTTCCACTTTTGTGTGCCTCTCTCCCCCCTTCTGGAGGCTACTTTTTAGTGCACACATCTCCGCTTGTGTTTTTTTTTTTCTTTCTTTTTTTTTTTTGTGCGTTTTGTGTGTCCCGCTTTGGGAAGATTACCTGACGGGAGTTATTGTGACCCATTTTGGGGGCTTAGCCAAACGCTGCTCTGTCGCCGCCCTTTGTTTTTTTTTTTTTTTTCTTGTACTTCCTTTTCTGCAATTCTGTTTTTTTTTTCCCGCTTCTTCTCCATGGTAGAGCCCCTTTAAAACGGCATCGCCCCCACACATTGAGCAAAACATGAGCAAAAGGGAAAACAACTGCGTATAAAAATATGCACTCATTGGCGTAATCCCGAATGTACGACGTGTGAATAGCCCCAATCTGCAAAGCGCAGAAATTCTGTCAACAGAGCCCCTATAATAATGAGCGTTGTAAAACATATATTTGAGCATGACCAAGTGAGGCTTCTAAATAACATCGGCAAATTTGCTGAAACGCTCTCATCTTTGGGATCCGTCCCAAGCATTAAAAAGTTTATCTTCGCCAAGTATGGAACGAACTACAACAGGGTGATAGAGAATTACCGCAACAGCAGCGTTCTGGTTTTTCGCGCCAATGAATATTTAAGAAAGTTAATAGAGTCAATATCGGTTGTATTTTGGAAGGGCCGCAAATGGAAAGGTTACACCTCAGAGGGAGCAATGCATGCAGCGCCCCGCTGCCCCGTAAAAAAGAAAAAAAAAAAAGGGGAAATTCCTAAGACACATTATACTTAAACGGGAGAGGGAGGAATAAGGGCCATTATACACACACACTGCTTTACACCCTTTTTAGGCACCTACTGGCCAAGCAAATGGAAATGGTACCACCGACACGGCTACTGGGCCACTCGAAAGAAACTGCTCAGCTTCGACAAGTACAGGCCCTACAGGTGAGTGTGTCGAGCAGCAAAAAAAAAAAAAAGGGGGAGACACAACTAAGAGGAAAAATAATTCATTTTCATACGGGGAAATTCCAATGTACACGTTTTTTGTGTATGCAGACACGTCTCTCGAACGACGCTCCCTACTTCCATTTCAACTTATTTCATTTCACTGAACAGGTATCACGAAGTTAAGGGACACGGGAAGCCGAAGCTTCAATTCTGGCAGGACCACTCGTATTACAGGCCCCTCAAGCAGACAACGAAATTTTGGTAACCTGGCGGTCTGCGGATTGCAGGATCAGCAACCAAAGCGGCAACTGAAATAAATAATGTGAACTCCCTGGTTGAGGAAAAAACAAAAGTAACTTGGCGTATTTGTCACGTCCAAGTTGCATCACATGTATGTACATGTGTGCGCGTGTGACATGTGTTTAGTTTTGGAAGGGCTCTCTCCCCCAGTTTCTATGTCCTCAAAAGGAGGAGAAAGCAAGGCGGCCTCTCTGTACCCACGAAGGGGAAACAAAATGGTGGCCACCTTACTAAGAAAAAAAAAAAAACTTTTGTCATTTTTGCGCAAACGAAAAACAATTTAAAAAAAAAACGAAATGGTGAAATGAATTCAAATGGTGTATCCTCCTTCAACTGAACGGGAAACAAAAAAAAAATAAATGAATGGACAAATGATCGACATGGACAGAAGGGGCTACAAACAATTCAGCAGGACGAATCAACTGCGTAAAACTCCAAAAAAGGGAAATGCGCATCTTTTAGAGCGAACAGTGCCATTTTTTTTTTTTTGTTTTTGTTTCCCATTTTATCCTTCCCCGGCGCGACGCTGCTCTCACTCTCACCCGCTGTGTATCCTCCAACTAGATTGGACGGCGCGGCTCCTTCTCGCAGTTTTAGAATGTGCCTGTCTGGGCTTCGAACCCTAGATTGTCTCGGCATGATGACTATGTAGTGGAGGAGGCAGAGGGGCACAAAAACAATTACCATTTGGGAAGACTTAATAAGTAAATACGTACATGCACTTATTTAGACATGTGTATATATATATTTTTTCCCCTTACACCTCACCATTTACGTGTCCGTAAGACCCTGTTCTGATGTCAGCGAGGTCTGACACCACAGGTAGATCCGTCAGCAGGGTCAGTATGGACCCGCACAGCCACCTGTCCCTGTGGTGTAGCGGTAAAGGGGGTTATCAGTTTAGCGGTGTAGAGGCATAGCGCGTCAATGTAAAATCTGTCCCACCAGACGGCCTCTCAAGTGTGCGAGAAGCCTGTATTCACTTCGTCCCCTTCGTGCGGTACCTGTCCGAGGTGGATTCTCTTTGAAGCATAATGAGTGTGGCCTGCGTCGACAGCGCAAGAAGCGGCGCAGCTCATTAGAGAGTGAAAACTTGCGAAATGTATGAGGAGAAAACAAAAAAAAAAAAAATTGTCATTCGGCATATGCGCAACTTAATACCATTGGTGTCCCAAGCTTCTTCCTGCAAAGAAGTATGTATGTGATACATTAGATGTTTTTTTTGTTTTTTTTTTTTTTCTTTTTTGGAGGCGGGGCGCATAATTCGTGTAGTGCGCCTCTTTGCGCAATTGGATCTTACATGAGCTGCCTATTTTCAAAGGCGGATGCCAAAGTCTTCAACCTAGACAGGGCCCGGACGGCTAGTCTGTGAACATGGTAAAAAATGGGTGAAGGCACATGGAGTAATCTGCCCGGCGTGGTGCAGCATGTCTAGCGAACACACTTCTTTGGGCTTACCTTCCCCCCGCCAAGACCCTTGCGGTTAAAGAGGTAATGTCCTTTGCTGATCAAATGAAAAAAAAAAAAAGGCAGTTGTAAATCATATTATGGCTTCTCTCCACTTCTTCCCGTTTAAAAAAACAAAATAAAATCATATTGATAGGATTCCCATACTAACCATCCTGATAGACCCGCTTAATATCCTCTAGAGCTGAACATGTTTTTTTTTTTTTTTTACAAAAGTATGAATCAATGTCATGTATACAAGGATGCACTTCTCTGTTGTATTGACGGCCATTTAGATAATTTTAAAAAAGGGGAAATTCTCCCCCCATGAGGAATATATATATATATTTTCTTATACCATCAAGTATGCACAGCATTTGTTCTTTCAAATTTTGTACAGCTCTACATGCGTCAACATCGGGGAGATTTTCAACACCTATGGGGGATGTTGAATGGGGATAGCGTTGATGTGAGGTTGGGAAAGGGTTCTTTTTTTGTGTGTATGTTTTCGCCAGTTTCAAATCATCTGCCTAGTCCTGTGGAGTGTTTTTCTTTTTTTAACCTAGCGATTGCAATGTGTGTTTGCTTGTGTTGGACACATTAATCATTTCAGCTAGCCACGGGGGGATGTCCTAAAAAGAAAAGTAAACAGATATGGTTGCAGACAAAAATAGAAATTATTTTTCCATTAAATGGCGCATGTGCAAGAAGGGTGGTGGTGGATCCTCATACAAATGAGCAGATACACAACACGGGGTTGGAGGGATGGATGAGTCATAAACCACCCGGTACTTGTAGATACACAAAAATGGGCATTACATAATTCTCCTGATGTTTTATATAAATGTTCTGTGATTGTGGACTGGGGAAATTTGCTTTGTTCTGTGAGCAGAGGGAGAGAAAAAAGGAGTAGTTTAGTCATGTTTCCATTTTACACTATGGTAAAAGGTGAGGTGCTAGATAAAGTGTGTGTGGCTGTACTGTAATGTCCTGTAGCTCGTCTCCATCTTCGTTTATTTCTGTTTGTATGTCATTGTCTTCATCTTCTTGGGGGGAACTACTGTGCTGGTACTTGCGTAGCCCCAAGTTAAGCTTCCGTTCGGGGGGCAAATCGACCGGGCCTGAAAAGGGAGAAGAGGAAAAAAAAAAAAAAAAAAAAAAAAAAAAAAAAAAA